TCTGCCTTCGAATTTTATAATATTAGGAGTGATCAGTAAATAATAAAGCTTCAGCATTCCGTTTTCATCCATCATTTCAGCTAAGTACGACACCGCTTGAGACACGTTTGATATGATCCAGTAAAAAGAATTTTGAGTTCTTGTTCCGTCAATTCAGGAAAATCAGTTAATAAATCTGAAGTTATTGCTGCAAAAGGAACTTTTCTTCTCGCCCAACGAATAGTTTCTACCTCCGAGGCTAAGGTATTATCGTGATTTTTTTTTCAGTTTATGGCAGCAATAATTTTCTCAGAGAGGTCGAGATCAGAATCAAGTCCTGTACCAAATTCATTATTCAAAAAACAAGCAATTCTGCAAAAAACACTTGTCTTTGGAAGCAATTTGTTGTCCAATTTATGATTTAAAAGCCTATATTTTTGTTTAATTATGCCATGAACTGCTTCAACGACCCAACGAAACGGGATTCATTTGATTCATTTGTGGTTAGTTGATTACGTTTTCCTTTGAGGGTAGGCATTAGCACTTTAAAGCCTAATTCTTCTAACTGTACTATTACATCCCGAAAGTCACGATCAACTTCAATGATGTCATCTTTTTTGAGCAACTTAATCAGACCATTTGGGTCATTTAAAATGACTCATTATTTCAGCATCGTTCATATTAGCTGTGTATGGCCCAAGCATGTCTATAACGAAACCATTCGTAGTGCATATCGTGAATGGTTTGCACAGAGGGACCTTCTTTTGACCATAATATGATTTCCTCTGATATTCATTATTTGCACTTTTTTGATGACGAATATATGTACCATCGCAAATGAATATTAACTGGTTATCTCTTACTTGATACAACTTTTTAGCTGTATTTGATGTATTGGCGAGTAATATCTCTCGGCTGATAGCATGAATTCCGAAATAGTGAGGCAAAACATCTTTTTCAAACGAAGATATTACTTCATTACAATAGTCTGACACCATTTGTTCTCGAGCTAAACCAAAAACGGAAGATATCACTGCGTTTGAATTTCTAGTACGTAATTTAAATTAAAAAAATAACAAGAGCTTGAATGACATTATGATTGACTGATTTTCTCATCGTCGTTAACATTTCACTAAGTTTTATCAATTCATCCTAGCTTAGACCCGTAAATACCTAACTGTTTTTCTGAAAACGAGTGATCTCCAATTTTATCAATTATGGACGAATCAGTACCAATAGCTAGCTGCCAAAGTAATTTTTCCAAATCATTTACTTCAAATACACCGGTATGAGAGTGGATTCGGAAAGTGTTAATATCTTTATCATAGAACCGTTTTTTAATGATATGATTTTTACAACACCGATTTCCTTGGGGAATAAAGAGCCGTCTTTTGGAAATGACTTGCTTACGAGCTTCAAATGGAACTATAGTAATATTTGATGATGATCCACAAAGGCAACAGTATTTGTGTGTCGATATGATTCGGGGAAAACCCAACTCTACAAATTCTAACTCTTCCTCCATTTTCTCTTGAATAACATATGAAGGATCTTCAGATGATGATACAGTCGAAACGGTTATGGACGATGATTGAGACAAAATAGGCTGACTTTAAATAAAAGACAGGCTTTCCAATTTTTTCTGTCGCATTTTCATTTACGTAAATATACATTACAATTAACACATTCTTTCCCGCACTGTTAGTTAAATCTGAGTTACTAGTATTAGCTGACATCGGCTGCCCAAAATCCTTGATCGATTTACCTGAAAGTAATTGCACTACTTTGTTCAATTCCAATATTGCTTCGTCAAATATGTTTTGATCATATTGTACACCATCTGAGTTTAACTCTCGCCATCGCCGAATCAGAATATCACTGGCCATATTTTCTTGAAATTTATTCCATTGATTAACAGAATCAGTTACTTGACAAAACACTACTATGACGGCAAATAAATATCTTAATGATGTAGCTGAACTATAGACAGCTGCTTCTGATAATGTTTTTTACCAGTGAGAATCGTCTTCCAAGAGCCCCATAGCTTTGCGTGCTGCTTGATAAGTATTGTATATAACACCTTGTACAGTTCTTAGGTGTTCAAAGGATGTCGGGCCTTTTACAATATGCAGTAACATTCTCAGATAAAAGCATTCTCTGTTGATGAACCACGTAGACTCTGCCAAGAGCATCCGTTTTTTACTCTGGGGAGACCATCAACCGCAGTACCATGTTTTCGCAGTTGAAAAGTTTTGGAACTCCGGTTCCATGTATAGTAACCTGGAACTCTGTCATATGTCAGTGTTTTCGCGAAATCATCTTGAGCACATAAGTTGAAAAATGTTGTCAATGTTGGATCCCGCGGGTTATTTACAACTTCTTGTATATTGTTCTCTGTGAAATATACTCTTCGTCCATTTTCTAAATGAACTGCAAGGTGTACAATTGTGGGAGCCCGGTCGTGCACTTCGAATGATAAAATCCTCCATACAGCTTCAGAGCTGCAGATGTAACGTCCAGACTGATATTTTTCCACTTCATTTGGTGATTGTATGCTGAAAGTGGCTTGATCACTGCCTTTATTATGGTACTTATTAACATATTGAATTGACTTTATTGAATTGCACAACTCTACGTTGATGTGGGCATCAAAATTTTCAAAAGGAGCGGATTATAGGGAACAATCCATCGGTTATCAATATCATGGTAGCATTGGTAGCATGGTAGCGAACGGTAGCATTTTGCCCACCCTGTTCTGGCGATCGTCGACTATATTTGGGATATCCGTCATCGCTTGTAGGGTAAAGTACCCAATCATTGGCACTCTAAAAGAGAACTGGTTAGTAAACAAAACATGTGACAAAATCAAAGAAAATACTTTAACCTTGGTTTTTTTATAACAGTTTTTAAGTGATTGAATAATAATAAATAAACATATGCTCAAAATCCAAAAGACTGCAGAAAATCCTATTATTGGCATAGAAAATCTCAATATTGGCCCCTACTCGTCTAATTATTGGCATGTAGTTCAAGTAGGAGATATGTAGGTACCTACCTATCAATAAAGTTGAAAATACTTACTTAACGTATAATTAAAACAATATTTTATTAATTAAATATCTGCCTTTATTTACATAAGTAATCTATCTTATAGTAGGTATTTAAAATGTGCATAAAAATGTTTTGTAATTCACTTTTTATGCCTAACATAAACACTTTATTTTATTCTAGCTACTAGTTTCACTTTATCAGTACTTAAATGGCTATCCTTGAGATCTTTTAACATTTATGCTTAACCACCAACAAAATATTAATGAGTCGGATTATGAACCTACTTAAAAACAAATACTCAACATCCCTATTTTATATACCTAGTTCGCAGTGTTCTAGAACCAAAAAGTAACATTAAGTTAATTTCCGTTATTGTTAACTTTTTGTTAGTTCTAATATGACTATCATGATCATGATCTAAATGCACATGTAATAAATCAATGTGATAAAAGATATATTCACGAACTAATCTTTGAATCTATTGCCTAAACGTGTAATTAAGAATATCAAATTAATGCAAAAGTATCTATTAGCCGAATAGCTGCGATATACAATGATTAAAAAAGGTCTCACCTTAAGAAAAAAACAAAATAACTACACCAAATCACAAACACAAAATATCCGCTGTTGTATCTAAATCGCCATATTAGTTATTGGAACAGTGTAGTCAACTTTGAACAGAAAAAATATACTATTGTACAATTTAATGCATATCAAACTTGAATAATCTATGGTTTCCTTGTTTTTTTCGAATTAAAATATAAAGTGCCAATAATTGGAGGAGTGCCAACGATTGGGTGTTTTACCCTATATCGGCGCTGCTATACCAGCTCTCTTACCTCGTAAATGCTGCACGGACTTCAGTACTCAGCATGCTCGACATGTTGACTTGTGTCGACTTCAATTGCTGTTGCTCTGTTCGCGTTTGTTTACCGATCGAGATGTTGTTTGAAAATAGTAATTCAATAAATCGCCGTGTTGCGGTGTATCTGAAAGCGAATGAGAGATCCCCACATTGCGGATTATTACTAATCTGAAGGTAATTTAAATCTGTAACTCTTCATTCCATGTACTTCTGAATGTTAATTGTGGCAGCGGTAGAAGTGACTCGTGTTCAGGGCACCGTATGAGGGTAGCGGTAGAAGTGACTCGGGTTTAGGGCACCGTACAAGGGCAGCAGTGGAAGTGACTCGTGTTCAGGGCGCGGTATGAGGGTAGCGGTAGAAGTGACTCGTGTTCAGGGCACCTTACGTGGATGAATGAATAGCTGACCCTCATTTGTCCTTTTTTTCTTATAAATTAAAATTTAATCTCTTAGATTTCCAATTTAATTGTCTTATTTTATATAGGATTTGATGTAGATTAAGAATCTGAGATAAGTTCCTTTCTATCTCTATCACATTGAGGTTTTTAATCATTATAATACGTCCTAGACTCTTGACAATGTGTTAATTTTGTGTATAAGTTGATCATGGAAGGAAATATCTTTTCCTGGAAAACACACCATATATCTTGTACCAATGGAGCAAATCACAACATCTTCTGCTCATATGATATTTAAGAGTTCCATATTAACTTACGCATCTTCCCGACCCTTGAACCTTCTACAAGTGTCCTAAAAATGGCTTACAAATCGACATTATTTTCACATTTCAAAAAGTTGGCTTAGATAGCAGCCTGTATCTCGTGAACTAATACAAATTTTGTGAGTTTCTAAAGGCCATGTTATAGTTTAAGAGACGCTCTACATGTTAATTGACAATATGTACTGCATACAAAAGTGGAAATACGTGGAAACTTTAATTATTCACTATTATAGTCTAAATTGTGGGACTCGTATCTGTCGCATTCATAGATGGCACTAGACTGCACTAAAAATCATAAAATCGAGTTATACGGCTTATTTTTATATTTATCGACAAACGTGGGCACGAGAATAGTTTTGTATACAATGCTTTCTATCGCATGTGTCTCCGCGCGCTGTCTCCTAGCGCCGCATCAACTTGCTTGCATGCAGAGTAAGTCTAGTTTGGTTTTGATCAGTGTCGCGTGCCGTCGACGCGCCGGCTTTGCGCATCTCTTGCTTTCTTATCATATACTGTTCCGTCGTTGTTTACGCAGGTTCGGCATGCACTATCGGTGTATTGCAGCCATTTTCGTGCCGGTCGCTTGTTAATCCAGTGGTGTTTTGAGAGACTTATATCGTTTATTCGGATTTCAATATTCTGAATTTGTGTTATACTCGAAGATCAATCGACTATTTATTTGTACTTTGCGGCTATAGTAATTTGTTTAATGATCGGAAATGCCGGTTTTTGATCGCGTTTGTTATGTATATTACAAGTCACGTGATGGTGGATTTGATAACATTCTTCACTCGGCGTTGTGTTTACTGTCGGTTACTAAATTCATCGGATATATATCGCCCCCATGTTGATTCTCATCATTAAGAAAGATCCATCAGGCTCGTGCAAGTATTTTTTAACTAAGCAGATTGTTTATTTTGTGTTGATTGTTAATTATAACATAAATCAATTGTATGAAATATTTTTGTTTTAATTTATGTTTTCGTTTAATTACAGCACTCGTTGTGCCTGGGAGTCCGATAAGCTGTACACTGGTAAGCTTATAATTGAATTATTTTTTTCGGTCAAATTTACATTTGCTGTTTATAAACAAATTTTCTATTTATGCCGTACTACCTACCTGTGACACAAATTAGACGACCGGCACGGTCGGACACAACTAGGGCAAAAAAGGTTTTTGATCCTCTTTTCCCACGAAATTAAATTATTTTAAATTCTCATCTTATGCAGAATTTTTCAATATTTCATAACAACTTTTCCCATTTTGCCCATTTTTCCTTATGAATTAAAATTGCATTTCTCAGATTTCCGTTTTAACTATCCTATCTTATAGAGAATAGTCCGTAGATTAAGACGCTGCGATCCGATCCTAATCTCTTTTAGTTTACGAGATATTCGCTATTGAATAAAATGGGCAAAAATTAAAAAATGTCACTTTTATAATCTTTAATCAGCAATTCGTTGGTTGCTATCTCTTTTAGTTTAAGCGATATTAATTATCGAAACTCATCGATAAAAGTTATCAAGCACCCCCCTTGGCAATTTATGTATTTGATTGAGAGGTGCAGAATTTCATTCATTATAGTCGAACAAAAGTATTGTATTGATCCAAATAGTTTTCACAACAGCCCAATTGGTATCCTTTGGTTACCAAATAAACAGTTTGCTCTTCAATTACTCTGGTTCGTAGTTTCATTTATTCTTGTCGATCTTTGAGCAAATCTATTTAATTATTTATTATGGATGAACAAGAACAAGAATTAAAACGATTACGTCGTCAGGTATGTAAAAAACAAATGTACCTATTTCTATATTAAAGAATTCAATAAATATATTTTGGTAGCATCGCATTTTGGTGAACGACAAACATGCACTAAAAGGTGCATATGGAATGAAATCCTTGCATCAGAAAAAGATATTAGAAACGATGCGTCAGGAGCTTGCAGATCTTAACTTGGCAAAAGCCAGAGCACAGCGTACAGCTGAAGATCGCCGTCTTGTTGCCAGAGTGAGGTCTCTCATTCGTTGTTATGAGTCACATAACAAAGCAATCCAAATTCAAAATGGTGAAATTGAAGAGATTGAGAACCAAATTAAAGTGGTAAAGTAGCAGTTTTAACTATAGTTCAAAATTTGTCGATGTTTTATTTAAATATTGTGCTTAAAGATGGAAAGCAAAATTAACGCAGTCCGAAAATACGATGTGCGTAATAAAGATGAAGTCGATGACGCTGATGCAAAAGGTCAACTCCAAAGATTTGAGAATAAACTCGAAACACAGGTCAAGCAGTATTGTGCAATTTTGGCAGATAATAAAGAATTGCGGAAAGAAGTGATGTCACTTTTAAAAGATAGGTTTGTTTCCAGATTTAAAATATTAATATTATATAAATAACTTTCAATAAAACATTTATGCAGGCAATTGTTTAACGAAAAATATAACAAACTTGTGAGAAATTTGGCAGTAGGTAAGCGTCAGCTATTAGAAACAATGGATAGCGCAAAATCTGTGTATGACCAACGTGAAGAGTCTTTGCAGAAACTGAATGCACTTTTTGTCAAGTCAAAATTAATTTATACAGATCACGTAGAGGTATATTTTGGGACTTTAAAATATGTTATTGATGAATATCGTAAGTAAGATTGTTTTAAACATTATAGCAAATGGCGGAAATGAAACGCCATCTTGATGCACAAACACAACTCGGAAAGTTTATGAGATCCAAAGGTTGTAGTCGTATAATGGCAGATCTTGAACGTAAAGAGAATGAGAAACGTCAGGCTGCTTGGGACAGTCAACAGCATCAGTTTGACTCATATATGCGAATGATTGATGAAATACGTGTAAGATTCATATTATTAAATACTTTAAATTCAATCGTCATTTATACACGTTTTTGCATTTTGATAATAGGATTTTTTTGGTGAGCAAGATATAAGTCGCATTGCTACAATTTTTGTTAGAAAGGAAAATGAAAATTTTGCTTTATTTAACTACGTAAACATTCTGAATGGAGAAATTGATACATTAACAGATGAAACTATTGAACTACAAAAGAAAATAGGTAATTTATTAATAGATTTATAAAAATATTTAGAGTATAATTGCTAATACATATTAAGAATTACAACGAGAGCAACAGAAAAAAGAAAACGAACATCAAGCTGTAACCCTGAAAGAGCTGGAAAACATGCTTCTTGTAGCTAAAGAGGAAAGTAGCAATGCTGAAGTAAGCCTGGAGCAATCAGAAAATAATCTTAAAATATTAATGACTGAGTTGGAGAATACGTTTGGAATACTTAAATGTGAGATGTCACCCATTCATAATTTATTAGGTGATTCAAACCAATAATATTTACAGCATTTTAAATAATATAGATAATATATTTCCAGATGAAAGCGACAAAATTTCAGTTAGAAATATACTAACACATATGGAAATTTTTGACGGAAAGTTAGCCGGTTTAATTACGGGCACTAAAGAACGGTGGATGGGAGCACCAATTCGAAAATCATTACACTAATATTACTTACAGCACATTATGACACATAATTTAGATATAGTTAAGAAGAGACACAGTGATGCACGTAGTTTACCTAAACTATTGATTTGGGGTTTGTTCTTTGTTGTTCGTTCTTTTAAGCTTCTTGGTAGAAATTGGCTAAATAAATATAAATTGCTGTAAAATTTTTGTGGTTCTGCGATTTTTTCAAACCTTGCGATGGAAATCAGATGTTATCTTGGAAGCCGATTATTATATTTTAGTTTTACGTTTAATCTAAAAGTAATTCTTAATGATGCACAATTGCCGCCCCCAGAAATAACACGAAAATTGTCTTAAAATTACTTTCAAAATTCCGTGTTATTGTGAATTTGTCAAATCTGCGATGAAAGTGGGTGAAATTATGTACAGATTGTCTTAAGAAATTGCTCGTTTCCTTGGGTAACGTTTGTGACCTCTTGAACGATGTACCATTACCTGGACCTTACTTTGCACATACAAGTTATATGAACAGAACCCGATGACCAAACAAGAATCATTAGTTAAGACGCAATCATGATATTTATTTCAAGCGCAGTAATTATTTATTTCAAACGTAATTATCAATTTCTAGAATTCATTGTCTCAAAGTCACCTAATTGCGCATTTCCTGTTTCGTTGCGCATCTTCTCTTCATATTTATTTAAAACGCATATTAGAGCCATATAAATAGAGCGCAGACCTAGACCTAAGCGATTATTGTATCATCCAAGTTCGTTGAATAAACAAGTGAAAGTTAACAAGTTCTTCTGAATCGATCATCAAGAACCCACTTAACAAATCCTAAGAAAACCAACAAAAGTGAATCAAAGTCTAAACCCAATTCTAATCCGCGATCGCGATTCGAACCAATAAATAAATAAATTATATTTAACAACTCGTGAGTCGATAACGAAATCGTTAATATAAAACCGCTCGACACAAACGGGGAATATAATTGGCGCAGTCGGTAGGATCTGAGAAGTTTTTCATCGAGAAAATCTTGCTGTTCTAACAGTTAACTCAGATCGTAAATCGCGAAAGCAGAACTTTCAAGTGGAAAAAGACTATTGAACTTTTGTGAGATCATCAGCACGAGAATCATCGTCGAGATCAAATCCAAAGAGCACGAAGAAACTGGACCGCAATCCGAGTTGGTCATTCCAAACATTGAATAAACCACATCCAATCGAGGACGGGAAAATTTGCGTTCACCAGTTCATCTGCTCAAGTTTATGTCTCCGGTACGCCATCTAAGAGGGTGAGTGATTTCCGAGAGCATAAAAATTAATGTCTGACTTGGAGTTATCAAACCTTTTCCAATCCCTAGACATTTCACGAACATTGGAAAACTTAATCCAAATTGATAATATAGATTCAGGTTTAGATTCGGGAAATCAAGTATCAGAAAATTCAAATTGTTTCAAGATGCCGAACGAATTCAAACCAGAATACCTGAAATGTGTGCCAGAATTTAATGGCGACACAAATGATTTAGTCGAGTTTCTTAGTTGCGCCGAAAGCATCGTTAACACGTTCGTTGACGCTAACGATCCGGGCAACTTCATTAATATTTTCATATTAAAATCCATTTTAAACAAACTCACCGGAAATGCACGAATCGCCGTGAACATTTCGGGAGTTCAAACCTTTAATGAGTTAAAAGAAACATTAATTCGTAACTTTAGTGACCAAAGAGACGAAGTATGTCTCATACGCGATATGGTCTTGCTAAAGCAGACGAACGAAACCGCGTTGCAATATTACGATAAAGTAATAAGTATTCAAAATCTACTATCGTCGTATCTGAACGCGCATGAATCAAACGATATTGCTATAAGAGTAAAAAGAGAGCTATACAATAAACTAGCTTTAAAAACCTTCATGGCCGGTTTGAAAGAGCCATTGGGGAGCTCAATTAGAGCAATGAGACCCGAAAATATGCAAGTAGCATTACAGTACATTAATGAAGAACGCAATGTACGCTATTATCAAAAAGACACAATCAAGACAAATACAAACGCTAATTTCCAAAAAGTAAATCCGCCACCTGGCAATTTCAACAGATTTAACACTAATCAAAACTATAAACGACCTTTTCAGCCTCAGAATAAAGTTGTAAATACGAGACCTTTTAATGAGCAAGCAAAACCGAGTTTCTCAAAAGACACAAACGTTTTTAAACCAAATCCGAATTATAAACCAAATCCGGAAACCCCCATGAGTACCAGCACTCGTCAATCGGTACCGTACAGCAATTTCTCAAAACCAAAACAAGGGTTTTACAGAACGCAACAATACCACAACATCGAATCAGAAAATTTAGACTCGTCGCTTGAGTCTATGTTTCGCGAGGAACCCTCACCTGACGAAGGTAACCCCGAGCAAAATTCATACGATGAAATCAATTTCGAGCAAAATACCGTAAATTTTCAAGTACTAGCCTCGGAAACCCAAGAGTAATAGAAATAAACAATTGCGACAATACGAGTAGACTACCGTACGTAATCTTCCCGGAGTATGATAATTTAAAATTGCTAGTAGACACAGGTTCAACAACTTCTTTTATTGATCCTGATATTGCAGAGCAAATCTTTCCAAAACGATAATTTTGACCCGTTTATCATTTCGAATGCTTTCTCCTCATCAGCACATCAGTACAGTGGCCAAATGCCCGTACCAAAAGTTTTTAAAAGACCAAACGAATTCATGAAATTCAATTTGTTCAAATTTCATAACATTTTTAAAGGACTAATTGGCATTGATAATTTAGAATTCCTCAATGCAACAATTAATGTAAAGAACAAAAAGTTGATAACGCCAAATGCCGAAATTCAAATTCATTATCAGAAAATCAGTAAAAATTGAATAGCTACGAAGTTCAACCTAGAACAGAACAAATTATTAGAGTCAGAACAAGTATCAAAGAAGGTGATGTAATTATTCCAAGCGTAAAAAGTAACAATTGCGAAATTCCAGAATGTCTTACAAAAAGCAGCAATTATAATGCATTAGTCACAATAGTCAATAAGGACGACAAAGTCGCAGTGGTCGACTTCACACAACCATTAACCGCGGAATTGTATGAAGGAAAACTTTATACACCGGAGGAATTTCATAACTTAAATTGTTATTCAAAAAGACAATATTCAAGACATACCAAAATCTGAACAGAACATATGAACCCAGAAGAAAGGTATCATATTCAAAATTAGTAAAAGAATATTCAGACATATTCCACAATGAGGATAAACCTCTAACATTTTCAAACAAAGTTAAACACGAAATAAAAACTCATGACGAAATGCCGATTTATACAAATCGTGGCTAGATACCCATTTGTCCATAAAGGTAAGAAGTGCAAACCCAAATTCAAAAATGTTGAGTCAAAAATCATTCAACCAAGTATCCTCCATGGTCCTTCCCATCTGGATAGTTCTAAAAAATTAGACGCGAGCGGAAAACAAAGTGGCGCGCGTTAGAAGTCGATTATCGGAAGCTAAATGAAAAAAACTATTAATGACAAGTATCCCTTTACCAAACATTACATGATATTCTAGATAAACTAGGCTGATGTCAATATTTTCAACTTAGATTTAGCCTCAGGTTTCCATCAGATCGAAGGTGTCAGAATCCGCGCGATCTGAACAAATTATTAGAGTCAGAACAAGTATCAAAGAAGGTGATGTAATTATTCCAAGCGTAAAAAGTAACAATTGCGAAATTCCAGAATGTCTTACAAAAAGCAGCAATTATAATGCATTAGTCACAATAGTCAATAAGGACGACAAAGTCGCAGTGGTCGACTTCACACAACCATTAACCGCGGAATTGTATGAAGGAAAACTTTATACACCGGAGGAATTTCATAACTTAAATTGTTATTCAAAAAAAGACAATATTCAAGACATACCAAAAATCCGAACAGAACATATGAACCCAGAAGAAAGGTATCATATTCAAAAATTAGTAAAAGAATATTCAGACATATTCCACAATGAGGATAAACCTCTAACATTTTCAAACAAAGTTAAACACGAAATAAAAACTCATGACGAAATGCCGATTTATACCAAATCGTACAGATACCCATTTGTCCATAAGCAAGAAGTGCAAACCCAAATTCAATCGGAAAATTTAGACTCATCGCTTGAGTCAATGTTTCGTGAGGAAACCTTACCTGATGAAGGTAACCCCGAACAAAATCCGTATGATGACACCAATTTCGAGGAAAATCCCGTAAATTTTCAAGCACTAGCCTCGGAGATCCAAGAATAATAGAAGTAAACAGTTGTGACAATACAAGTAGACTATCGTACATAATTTTCCCAGAGTATAACAATCTAAAATTACTAGTTGACACAGGTTCAACAACTTCTTTCATTGACCCTGACATTGCGGAACAAATATTTCCAAAACAATCATTTTGACACATTTATCATTTCAAATGCTTTTCCTCATCGGCACATCAATACAGTGGCCAGATGCCTGTATCAAAATGTTTAAGAGACCGAATGAGTTCATGAAATTCAATTTGTTTAAATTTTATAATATTTTTAAAGGATTAATAGTAGCATAGATAATTTAGAGTTCCTTAATGCAACAATCGATGTAAAATACAGAAAGTTAATAACGCCGAACGCCGAAATTCAGATTTATTACCAAAAATCAGTAAGAAATTAAATAGTTACGAGGTACAACCAAGAACAGAACAAGTTATTAAAGTCAAAACAAGTTAAAAGAGGGAGATGTAATCATTCCAAGCATAAAGAGTAATAATTGCGAAATCCCAGAATGTCTTACAAAAAGTAATAATTATAATGCATTAATCACAATAGTCAATAAAGACGACAAAGCCGCAGTGGTCGACTTTACACAACCATTAACTGCGGAATTGTATGAAGGAAAACTTTATACACCGGAAGAATTTCATAATTTAAACTGTTATTCGAAAAGAGATAATATTCAAAACATACCGAAAATCCGAACAGAACACATGAACCCAGAAGAGAAGTATTACATTCAAAATTTAGTAAAAGAAAATTCGAACATATTCCACAACGAGGATAAGCCTCTAACATTTTCAAATAAAGTTAAGTACGAAATCAGAACACATGACGAAATGCCAATCTACACTAAATCGTACAGATATCCGTTTGTTCATAAGCAAGAGGTGCAAACACAAATTCAAAAATGTTGAGTCAAAAATCATTCAACCAAGTAACTCCATGGTCCTCTCCCATCTGGATAGTTCCGAAAAATTAGACGCGAGCGGAAAACAAAAGTGGCGTGTCGTAGTCGATTATCGGAAGCTAAATGAAAAGACGATTAATGACAAATATCCTTTACCGAATATCACGGATATCCTAGACAAACTAGGGCGATGTCAGTACTTTTCAACCTTAGATTTAGTCTCAGGTTTCCATCAAATCGAGATGTATCCGCGCGATTCGGAAAAACCGCGTTTAACGTAGAGAACGGACATTTCGAATATATAAGAATGCCGTTCGGACTCGAAAATGCACCGGCAACATTTCAAAGAGTTATGGATATCATACTAAAGGGAATTCAGAACGAATTGTGCCTAGTCTATATGGACGACATAATTATTTTCAGTGTTTCCTTACAGGAACATATTCAAAATTTGCGAAAAGTATTCGATCGTTTACGAAACGCGAATTTCAAAATTCAAATAGACAAATCAGAATTTTTCAGGAAAGAAGTAAACTTTCTAGGACATGTCATTACACCATCGGGAATACGA